CGCCTGCCCCCCCGGCCGCCGCCGCCATGGGGGAGAACGGCCGTTAGGGGCGGCCCCGTGGCGGCGGGGGGGAAGTGACGTCAGGCGAGCCGTCGGGGCCGGCGTGAGGTGCTGCGCTTCGGCCTCCCTGCCGCCATCCCGGGGCGGCCCTGAGGGGGGGCAGCGAGGGGACCCGGGCCGGTCCCCCCCCCCCATGCTTTTATTTCCCCTCTAGCGGCCGGTCTCTGCGGGAGGGAACTTAAGAAGGTGGCATCTTCTGTCCCAGGGGATATGACAGTCTCTGCGCTTTCACCGTGCCGGCGTCTGAGGGGAAAGGCGCAGGCGGGTGGAGGGCCGGCAGAGGTGTGAATTCAGCAGCTCTGAAAGCCTGGCAGGCGTTGAGTCAAAAGCACCTTCACCCGCTGGCGCTCGCTCGGTGACTGTGGAATCGTGGGATGTAGCTCAGCAGTGCCTGGTGTTGGGAGAAAAAGAGGCGCAGATTGTCATGAGTGTTCACTTTTCACATGTGAACTCAGTTTTGACAGCTCAGGTTGTCAAAATAGAAACGGCACTTTCTGAAAAATCTTTCCTCCTTTTTCTTTTTTTTTTTTTTTTTGTGCCAAAATGGGAGTTGCTGGATATTCAGATGCTGGAGCAACATAGCTTAGTGCTGTGCTCCATATGCTCCTCATGCCAAAAAGCACCACTCTAGGATTGTGCTTTGGTAGAAAAGGTGGAGCAGGGCAAGCGTTTTGGTTTAGAAACTTGAAAATGAGATGCAGATTAACTAGGCAGAGCATGTTCTAACACACACCTCATGGGGGTTTTTTTGTACTGCCTGGTGTGGCATTGTTTGAGCTACATGATAGGTTTGGTGTGCTGTCCTTTATCCTCTCCTGCTTCTCTCTATCCACCTCTGGCCCTGATACTTCCTTTTACCATATCTTCCTTCAGGTACTAGAACTATTACAATGTAGGTGTTTTGGATATGTTTCATCTTTTGCCTTATGCATATTGGGGGTATGTGCTTATGTTGCAGTTACTTGTCTTCACCCTTTATAAGTCAATAAGGGGGAAAAAACAAGTCATTTTAGGGCTTGATTTATGTAACCGATGTCAAACATTCAGAATCAATCCTCCTGTGCCCCAGAAGTGCTCTGACCCCTTACTGAGTAGAGGGAGGCTAGACACATCTCTTGGACGGCACTCGCTTTGCAAATGTCCAACCAGCCTGGGGAAACTCCATCCTTTGGGGAGCCATTTTCACAGTGCAAGATGTGGCAAGTCATTCTCTTTCCATGCTATGGAACAGATGCATTTTAAGAGACCTCAGATCAGGGCATAAAAGCATATGAGTGAAAACAACAATATAAAAAAATAAAAAGCTAAGGCACTGTTATCATGAGAAAAGTTCCTTGCCCTGCATGGTGTGGGAAGGAATAGTAGAGCAGCAATTAGACATAATTCTAGGTCATTAAATCGGGATGGCACCCATGCACAGAACTGTGGAAACCACTAAGAGGAAAAAAAAAAAAAAGAGTCTGTCACTTACGCAACATGACACAAGACAGTTAATTAAGCATGGTTCCACTGGTATTTTAAACAGTTTCTTGTGAAGTTGAGGCTTTTTGTTTGCTTTTTTAGTATGTTGAACTTTTCTGTTGACAGGCCTGACAAGAAAGCATTACACATCTGTGGAAGAAAAGTAGAAAGAATAAACATAAGTAACTTGGGTGCTCTTTTATATTTCACTACTACCTCTAGACCTCAGTTGAGATCAGGCTCCCCTGCACAGGCTGTAGAGAAGCTGTATTTAAGCTGTATCTAAAGGCACTTTTTGTATTAACCCTGCAGCTCTGCTCTGGACAACCTCGGAAGGGGCTGGAATGCCCCAGGACTCTGCACCCAGCTTCCCATCCAGAGGAAACCAAGGCTCGCATCCACAAAGCATGACTTCAGGTCTCAGGGTTTTCTCTGCAGCCTCCAGCATGCAGTAACAGACTCTGCCTCACTCAGCAGGTACCTGATTTGTTTGATTTAATTAAGTGCTCGATTCAAGGCTCAGATAACCCAGCCACCCCTGTCATGCCCCACCTGTGGGGAGGAGCAAGTGACTCAGATTCGCAAATCCCCTTCCGTGTGGACTAAGGCGAGATAACACTCAAGGTCCATACATAAGCATCAACTTTAATGGAAAATTTCTATAGAAACAAGTATTATGCAAATGTTGGCACTTTCACAACTATATCTACCTGAGCTATGCAGCTTTATGGGCAGTCAAGGTCGGCCTTGAGTTACTTAACAATTTTAACCGCTACTCAGTAGCTTTAAGGTCACTCGGAAGAGAAAAGAAAGAGAAAAAGAGAGAGAGAGAGGGAGGGAGATATCACCAGTCCTGGATCCAGTGTTGGACCTGCCAATGGGGGCATTCAGCATAAAGAGACCCATTGCATTGTTTGTCTGATTTTATTAGGCCTGGTTTTGTTCTTTACAAGGGAAAGACGGTGTGGGAGAAGTTTGTATTCTTACTTTGTGGATGTATAATCTTGTCTCAGTCGACTGGGAATTTGGATAACCAACCCAACTTGGCATGGGAATTGGTAATAGGTTTTGCGCGAATTTGGAACAGGACCGACCAAGGGGTTTGTGTAGATCCCCAAACATCAACAGGAGCAGGTTTTAGATTTGCCCTTATGTGGTTAAATGTCACAAAAGTATTGGGCACACAACTGCAGTCCGCAAGTTGCAATTGCACCAGAAACTGTGCATGGGGGGAGGTAGCTTCTCCTTTTGAAGACCAACCGAGAGGTAAATTACATAAAAATGGAACATGGAGAACAAACATGCCTTTTATCAATTCCCACTCGAAAATGATAGTGAGGCCGATTTGTGGTATCAAACATGTTACCAGTGGACATGAGCAACCCCGTTGCTGTTATGAAGGGGATACCAAGTCCCTTTACTCAAATTGACTAGCCGCTGTCCAGAAGAACTTTTTGCAATCCCAAATTCCACAGCTAAATGGTGGGATCAGACTCACTGTCAGAAACTGACCCCCAAATCCTGTTCTGCTGTTACTTGGTGGCCACCGCCTCCTGAAGAAAACCCATTAGAACACCCTTATAACATTCCTTGGAGCCCTGGTTGGTGTATCCAACTTCCTCATCAACTTGATACCAGGTCCCTCATTAACCACACTCAATATGAGTGCGCTTGGTCCATCAAACATTTTTTCTGGGAGGAAAATGATCCCCCAATGGATAAGGCATTTTTTGAACCCCCACAATGGGATGAGTCATCCCTTCTTAATTGTACCCATATTGTAAATTTTTCTACTGGCGCAGGCGGTCCCTTTGATACCTGGCTTCTCCCTGAGACCAGAACCCTTATTTGGGATATGTGTTGGGGCTACCTCTCTTATGGTTTTAGGAATAGTGATCCATGGTGTAATGCAACCCTGACTAATGCTACCCTTAGTTTGTAATGTGGTGTTCCTACCAGCCGTGGTTCAGAACACCAAAGGGTTTGGGATACAGATCTACAAGGGACATGGGTGCCCCAGGATGACTTTTATCAATGCTTCACCATGCTCTACCCTGCTCCATGGGGAACTTTATGGGGGTGCTCAGATGGGAAGATGGATTCTCACTTAACTGTTTTTGGTTTATGATGTGCCATTGGTGTTCCCTCAATGTGTCCCTCCAGAACATTTGACTATTATAACGACTATAACAATGGCCGGAGGAAGTGAGATGTTCAAGCACCTCAGGTTAAAACACCTGATTATTATACCTGGGGGGTAAAAACTTCCCTTATGCTTGAAAATATATTTGCTCCATATGTAACCCTAAAAAAGCACCAGTTTGTCTTAGAAAATTTGACCTGGCGGTTACATACTTTGACCCATTGGTCTGAGCATGCTTTTGGGGAATTGGATTTGCAAGTTCAACAGGTGTCAAAGGTGGCTGTGCAAAACTGGCTAACCTTGGACATGCATATTATTGAAAGAACGAGGAGTATGTGGAATGTTGAACCTGACAGAGGGAGAATGCTGTGTCACCATATACAACGCCACCACTGAGAAGAGGCACGCAAGATGAGGAAAATTGCTGCACAGACTGGAGAACTCTTCCAGGCAATGCGACCAAGGAACTGGTTTGAAGGGTCATGGATTACATCATTGTTGAAGTCTCTCAGACTCACGGGGTGGGGAAAATGGCTTGTAAATGTTGCCCTTACGATACTGTGTGGGTTTTTGGTTTTGACATTAGGCCTTGCAGTAGTTAAATGTATGATCTCTCGCCTTCTCTCTTCTTTTTGTTCTGCGATTCTTATCCGCTACGTACAGATCACCATGGTCAAAGAAGGTCTTGGAGTGTTTGAGCCACAGAGTGGTGTAAGGAACAAGTCCCAAGTTATTGTACTGTGAGCCTGGACAATGCCCCGAAAGAAAGTTCCAGAAATCCAGGAACTAGTCACAGGGAGAGGGCTGGTGTCACTCCTCTTGACTGACTGGTGTCTCAACCACTCCTGGAACTGGGGCAAGAGAAGGTTCCAGAAGTCCAGGAACTGGGGCCAATAAAGAGGGGCACGTACGAGTCTCTGGGGCTCTCTATGCTGAATACCGCCGTTGGCAGTTCCAGCACTGGATCCAGGACTGGTGATCTCTCTCTCTCCCTCTCTCTCCTTTTCTCTTTCTTTTCTCTTCCGAGTAACCTTAAAGCTACTGAGTAGTGTTTAAAATTGTTAAGTAACTCAGGGCTGACCTTGACTGCCCATAAAGCTGCATAGCTCAGGTAGATATAGTTGTGAAAGTGCCAACATTTGCATAATACTTGTTAACTTTAATGGAAAATTTCTATAGAAACAAGTATTATGCAAATGTTGGCACTTTCACAACTATATCTACCTGAGCTATGCAGCTTTATGGGCAGTCAAGGTCGGCCTTGAGTTACTTAACAATTTTAACCGCTACTCAGTAGCTTTAAGGTCACTCTGAAGAGAAAAGAAAGAGAAAAAGAGAGAGAGAGAGGGAGGGAGATATCCCCAGTCCTGGATCCAGTGTTGGA